CCAGCATGTTTGTAATTATTTCCAAAATCCCAGGGCAATTTAGGTTTCCAATACAGGCATACTGTGTGATGAGGGCAATCAATTTGTTCTATGTGGAGTGTGTGGCGTGGTAGGTAGAGGAAACCTTTCCTTTAAACATCCACCCTAGCACTGGTAGTCAGGTTGCCAGGAGGTGTTGTGCTTCCATGCCAATCACCTCTGAGGCAGCTTTAACTCCTTCATAGGCAGTCAAGATTTCCTTCCCTGTGGAAGTATAGTTGGCTTCAGAACCTCTGGAACTTTGGCTCCAGAATCCCAGTGGTCAGTTTCAAGTCTCTTTAGGCACCTTCTGCCACAGGCTCCAGGACAAGCCATTGTTCCTGGCTGCAGAGTAGAGCACATTCTTCACCTCTGGTCCTGCCCTGACTGGGCCAAGGGCTACCACATGAGTGATCTCCTGCTTGATCTGGGTGAAGGCTTGTTGCTGTTCAGACACACAGTGGAAATTGTTCTTCTTGCAGGTAACTAGGTAGAGAGGGCTCACAGTCTTGCTGTACTCAAGAATGTGCATTCTCTAAAAACATATGGCGCCTAGGAAAGCCCGTGTTTCCTTCTTGCTGGTCAGTGGAGACATCATGGTGATCTTATTGATGACCTCAGTGGGAATCTGACACTGTTTGTCTTGCCACTTTACTCCTAGGAACTGGATCTCTCAGGCAGGTCCTTTGACATTGCTCTTCTTGATGGTGAAACTGGCTTTCAGCAGAATCTGGATGATGCTCTCTCCTTTCTCAAATACTTCCATTGCTGTGTTCCCCCACACAATGATATAATCAATGTACTGCAGATGTTCTGGAGCTTCACCCTTTTCTAGTGCAGCTCGGATCAGTCCATGGCAGATGGTGGGGCTGCATTTCCACCCCTGGGGCAGTTGGTTCCAGGTGTACTGTATGCCCTTCCAGGTGAAAGCAAACTGAGGCCTGCATTCTGTTGCCAGAGGAATGGAGAAAAATGCGTTAGTAATGTCAGTAGTGGCATACCACTTTGCTGCCTTGGACTCCAGCTCCTACTGTAGTTCCAACATGTCTAGTACAGCAGCACTCAGTGGTGCAGTCACTTAATTCAAGGCAGACTTCACACAGGACAAATGGGAATGTTGAAATGTGAATGGGTTTTGCTGACCACTCCTTGGCTCTCTAGTTCATGGATCATTTTGTGGATGGGGATCACGGCATCTCAATTCATCTGATACTACTGTCGGTGCACCATCGAGATGGCAATTGGTACTCGTTGCTCTTCCACCCTCAGGAGTCCTACTGCAGATGGGTTTTCTGATAGTCCAGGCAAGGTGTTCAATTGCTTAATGTCCTCTGCCTCTACAGCAGCTATGCCAAAAGCCTATCTGAGTCCCTTTGGGTCTTTGTAATAGTCATTCTAGAGAAAGTCTATGCCCAGTCTATGCTGGTCACAATAAGATGTTTCTGCCACTCCTTCCCAGTCAGGCTCACCTTGGCTTCCAACAGGGTCAATTGCCGTGATCCCCCCATTACCCCAGCAATGAAAACAGGTTCTGCCCCCACATGTCCTGTTTGCATTAGGGTACATTGCGCACTTGTATCAACTAGCGCTTCATATTTTTGTGTCTCTGATGTGCCAAGCCATCGGATCCACACTGTCCAAAATATTCGGTTTTCCCATGCCTCTTCCTGGCTAGAGGCAGGGCCCCTCTAATCCTGGTTATTATTTCTTTCCTGGGCATACATGCTAGAGGTACCTTCAAGGGGATCTTACAGATCATACCCAAAAGCTTGGTCATGGGAGGTTGAGGCTCCTTGGTGGAACTCGCCCGGTTAGAGTTTCCCTCCTTGAGTTGACACACCCGTGCTGCCAGGACAGAAGTGGGTTTCCCATCCCACCTTCCCATGTCTTCCCTATGGTCATGCAGGAAGAAACACAGGTCAGCTGGGGGGGTGTACCCTCTGTCTCTAGCTAGGGGACGTTTGGCTCTGACTTTGGGGCCTGTGACTTGCACTGGTGTGATATGGGAACTGTTCCTCCTCACCTCCTCCCTCATCTCCTCTTGGAGGCTCCTAATTACAGCAGAGACATGGGCCTGCATCAGGCCATTGATCATACTCTCATAATTTCTAAGCTTGTTGGCAACAGAACTCACTGTCTCTTGGTTGGTATCAGTATTAATTGTTGCAATGAAGTTGGTGTATTGGGATGGCCATAGATTTGCTAGAATCCACAACATTTGCCCTGTGCACCTGACTTTGTCGGGGTCATTATCATGCTGTCCATCCCTCTCAAAGAGTACCTCCAATACTGCCACTTCTCTCAGCTTTTGGATCCCTTCTTCAAGGGTCTTCTAGCGCATTCTATTATGGTGTCCCTGCATTCTCTCCCTGTGGACAAACCTCTCTCTGACACATTAAAATCTGCTCCCAGAGGCACAGGGACCCTGGCTCCCTTTACAAAAATCTGGTTCATACCTGAATCGTGGGTCAAGGGTCCCAAATTCCTTGCCTCATCACCATCTAGTTGCATACTTGTTCCCATAAGGTCCCAGACCCGAAGTAACCAGGTTGTATAAGCCTCACGTCCCTCTTGTACAATGTCTTTGTGCAGATTACAGGGATTTTCATACGTCAGGGACTTGGTGATGATCTCAGCTGTTGGCTCCCCTGCAGGTTGTGAGGGCCCTCCATTCTTATCCTTATCCTTATCTGGGTGCTTTGATTTCATCTTAGACTTCCTTGTTTCCACAGGGGCTACTGCTGCTGGCTGTGACTACCCTTGCGATTCAGCTGGAACCTGGATGGTTGTATTGTCTGTGGGTTCCACTGCTGCACCATTAAGCTCTCCCTCTTTGAGGCAGGGGGAGGGTTTCCCACCATCTGAAGAATTGTACTGCTTTAGCATCTGGCCCATCTCATATATCTCCTGTACCAGAACCCCCACACAATCTGGATGGTTTATTTCTGAGATGGGCTGTGGGGCAGGGTCAGGCTCTGGAGTAGCATTCCTACTTTCTGGGGTAGGTGTCAGGGAGGTTATCCAAGTCAATTTTCTCTTATCTCTGAATGCCAAAGAGAACAGGCTTAACAGGCATATCAGCATCACCAACCACTGTATGATATTATTAGCATTTAGAGAAGATTTGAACCCTTCAAAAACTGGTGGGGCAGACCCAAAGAGATGGTTAAAGGGTCGGGAGAAAATTTCCTCCGGTGTCATTTTCTCACAGTAGGTACCATTATTGAAGTAACCCCAAAAACATACAGTTGGTGTGTGATAGCTCTTAATCCATGTACTGGCCTTGCAGAGGAAGTTAAAAATCCATGAATTCCTCACCTTATTAACCCATGAAGCAAACACAATAAAAACCACAGTAGCCTTTGTTATAGGACCATGTTTAGAAAAGGGCATTAAAATAGGAGAAATATAGCCACTACCATGTGCCACCCGAACCAGGGTAAGCTAGACCACATAGTGACAAGGTATTTTCTATATCCAGCACACAAAACATTAGGTTACTTAAGAGCTGTTATTTTTTTTAACCCTTTTTCTCTCAATGCCCTCGAGCTTCACCTTGGATGCCAAAATCTGTCTTGGTTTGAAAAGACAGGTGTCTGCTAAGGAAGGCAGGAGCCTCTTTTGAAATGTGAAATGTAAGCCCCCTCCCTCCAAATTATTATAATTTTGAAATTAAGGGGCTTTCAGGCAACAATATGGGAGCGTCGGAATCTGTGGGTATTGGTGATTCCGAGATTGTAGAAAGTCTCTGTCTTTCTGCCCCGTTGCTAAAGAAGAAGCCATAATTCATCTGTGCTGTTTTCAAGGTTGTTTATTCTTGCTTATCTATAACATGTTCTGCTGCCCTGACGCAGGTCTGTCCTGCAGGGCAGCATGCGGGGCCCTGCCCCTCAGTGGGATGTTATAAACATTATATACCAGAAACTACGTGTACTATATTTACAATAATGTGCTAATATCTATCATCTATGTTGAACAGCGTGTCCCCACCCTAAACCAATAGAAAAATGCCAACACTACAGTGAAACATGGAGGGCATGAAGAAGGAGGAAAAGGACAAGACACACCCAATTCCTCTATCTTGTCTCCTCTGAACCCTTAATCTAGAAACCTAAAATTTTACTTTTGCACCCGTGCCACACTTAATTATTACTCTTATCAAACACTCAGAGCTTGTAATTCATCCTGTAAGATTGAAAACTCCTCTCCATGGACAGAGATCACAGGCAGTGTCTCTTGGGGCTCTGTACAGGAGGGTTCTTGACCCCTGCCAGGGTCCCAGACCTGCCAGGGCAGCCAGAGGGAAGCCCTGGATTCCCACATGGGAGTAGGAATAACAGTTCTTCATTAGGAAAAATAAAAATAAAAATACAGTAATTGAAAACAACAGTGACAGGGTAAGAATACAACCTGACATCCTGTGTGTCAGGATTTTGGTAGCATTCCTATTAAATGGTGGCTGCAGTACTCCTGGAGTGACAAATGTGGTTCTGTTGAAGCAGTGATGTTGTAGAAGGGTGTAGTTTTCTTCTGAAGGTCCAGTGGTGGTGTAGATGGGCCTGATGTTCCTCTGGGAATCCAGTGGAAAAGAAACCTGCTCTTCTGGGAATCTGGTGGGACAAGGCTGTTCATCTGGGAATCTGGTGGGAGAAGGCTGACTGCGGTGTTCTAAATCTCAGATTATATCTAGGTAGGAATGCTTGGTTCCTCTCTCTGGGCAGAGTATCTCTCAATGGGATGATGTAATTTTATCAGTCATGCAGTGAGACTCAACGGCCCATTAACAAATGATATCTTCCCAAAGGGAGGATTGGTTGTGGAAGAGATAAAGAAAACTGCCCAATTAACAGAAGATAACTGCCCCACCTCTAACAGAGGGCAATAGAATACACACTCAGCTACACCTTTCAATCTGAGACAATTAAATATTTGTAAACATAGAAAATGTAATAAATTTAATTGTTTTCTTTGTTTCAAATTAGGCTCATGCACAGTTAGTTCGAGAAGTCGATGTAGAGAAGGTGTCAACTTTTGAGAACCCCTATGTAGATGCACTGAGAAATTTATGGAATGACCCTGGAATCCAGGAATGTTATGATAGACGACGAGAATATCAGTTATCAGACTCAACAAAATAGTAAGTATATTGTGGCTACAAAAAACTGTATCTTCTTTTCTTTTCTTTCTAACAAATTAATTCATATTTTTTATCTTTGTCTACTATATTTTTTGTGTACTTACACGTACAGTTTCTTTAGGTGTGTGTAGAAGTATCCGTGTGTGCATATGTTGTGGTTTGACACGGAAAAAGAATTTTCTCAGAAGGAAGAGGTCAATCCAGTCAGGGATCGGTTTTGGATACTGACACTTGGGGTGACCAATTGAAGGTGGACACGCCTCTGAGAACACAGAGGGGTTAAAAGCAGAATTCCTAGGAGAACTCGCTCTCTTTGGTTCAGGTCATTGGAGAGTGCAGACCTCCCCTGCTCAGCAACGAGCTGGGTGGGGGAGGGGACCAATGCGGCCTGCAGAGGTAGACCAGGGGGTGAAGGGTCTGGAACCGAGCTGGGACAGCTCCTGCGGACGGAAGGGTGGAGAACGTCTGAGATGTCTTTGTTTCCCCCCCCCTCCCCAACCTAGAGGGAAAAGAGATAGAGAGCTTGCAGTCACCTGGAAGTTTGCCGGCAGAGGAGAAGGAGAAGCGGGAGGGAAGATGCCCAGTGTGGGAGACGGGAGATGGAGTCCTGGGCCGAGATTTCAGCCATCCGGGGAGTCCGGGACTTTTAACCCTTTCCTGGGAAATGAAGGCTTTGTGAAATATTACTTCTCCTCAATTTGAAGGAAAGAGAGACAGCCTGTGACCTCAGATGTTAGGGAAAGAAGGTTGGGGGGAGATGATGAAGTGGCTTTTGGCTGGACTCTTCTTGTTAGCCATAGAGTGAACCAATTTCTCCTCTAAGAGAGACTGCATTTTAGGGGGATGCAATGGTGAGCCATGAGACCTACTTCAGCAACTACCAGTTCAGGAATGAAAAGAGAAAAGCTGAGGAGGGTGTGATGATGCTCCCTGTCTTCAGAGAAGATCTCTGTTCTTGGACCCTCGGCCCCAGGGGAAAATGGGGGGGACTCTAGTCCTAAAATGAGACACTGGACTGTTGTTCCTGTTGGTCCTTGGCAAAGCATCCTTAAAGGAGCCCTATAAGCAGTCTCTGTCCATGCACGGTGGTGAGAGCACTGTGATATGGAGAGGGGAGTGTCACACTGGCAGATTCTCTCCAGGCGGTGCCATGTGTGACATGGAAACACAAGAGGTGGCAGCTGTGTTTCCTGGGGGTCTATGGTGCAAGGGAGACTCCTTTCTCCCCTGATGGACTCAGTATTGATTAAATTGAAAGGTGAAGACTTGATTAAGGGTCCAAATGTGTCTCGCTGTGGTTTGTTGGAGTTGGGTGGTAGGAGGAGGAATTTTTTGAAAAGTTTTCATTTTGAATTGTGTGTGTGTTTTTTTCTTTCTTTTTTCTTTTATAGTAGTAGTGGTAGCTTAATAAAGTTTTTTTTTTTTTTTTCCTTTGTTATTAAGCTTAGGCCTGCTTTGCTCTGTTCTCGATCGCATTTCACAGCATTCAATTGACAGGTTGCATTTTCATGGGGGCGCTGGCATTGTGCCAGTGTCAAACCATGACAGCATACATCTTCAGCACAAACCTGCACTTAACAATGTGAGTGCAAAGACTACTGTAAGGAAGGTAGTGAATCTAGTTTTGTATTATGTGTGTGTTTGTTTCTCAAAACATAAGTGTATGATAATTTGAAATCCTACATTATTACTAGGAAAGTGCAATCAAAGGTAGACTTCTATTGAATTCATAAAAATTTCAATGCCCTTGAACATCTGTTTTCCTTGCTTAAAAAAGCAATGGAATTTAACATTGTACCCTGAGCATTGTCTAAATGTCATCTTCAAGAAATTCAGTTGCTCTGAGTAATATACTACAGAGCTCTGGTAAAATTCTTCATCTGGTAAAAAAAAAGGATGATGGTAGAGGAGGATGACTTTTTGGTATTGCCCACTAGAAAAAGAGTTAGCATACTTGGATATTAAAGTTGTTTCAAAACCTTCCATGGTGTCCATTGGAACTTTTAGATTTCCTATGGAAATCAATCATAATATATTGTTCTTGTCTCCATGTCAGGTTGGCATGAAAGGCATCCTCTCATTGAGGAAAACACAGAAGGAACTGAAAGACATCATGAAGGTTCAGTCAATGGAACATGGCCGTACAGAAAACAAAAATCTGGAGTGAGATTTATCTGCGCAGTAGCCTGAGGGTCCTTATCTAGCACAATCCTTTATACCTGACTGAGTCAAGACAAACTTTAAAATACCTTGCTGATACAGTTTAGGCAGCTAGAGAGTGACTAGTGCCTGAATTAGGTCTGATGAGATTGGTTCCAATGCTCTGTAATTACCATACCACATTCTGCTTCTGCTTTATCAGCCTCTCATACAGGTTGTTGTTCTACGTCAGGTCACATGTGGGGGGGGGGGGGAAGGTGAGGGGCAAAGAGACAGACACCACTCACCCCAGATGTTCGTGTGGCACAGAGAGCTTTATTTTCCACGCCCTCCCTTATATAGAGAATTTGAAAGACACAGTCTGGGTGCTCTCATTGGTTTGAACTTCATGCTCCTTCAGGTCCTGGACGTCTGAAATGCCTGCAGTCTTATGAGAGATCTGATTGGTCAAAAACCTTGTCACTCAGCCCAGGGGCTGGCAACGTGACACCAACAGTTCTATGCAATATGCTGTCCCATAGAGCTGATTACCTTCACAGTCTATCACTTTTACTACTTATATATGCATATTTTGGTGCAAAATGGTTCAAAATATAGTAAAATCTCTCTTGTATTGTATGGATTCTCAGTGTCCCCAAATATACAATATTGTGTTTTATTTTTCAATGGTAAGAAAGCTAAAAATCATAGGAAATTACATGTAAGTGAAAATTTCTACCGTATGTAAGTAGGAAAAGAACATTTTAGAGACAAATTAAGCTAACTATACTTTCTGATTGTTTTAATTTTGAAATGAACAGCAAACGTAAGTAGAAGGTAAAACAGAGTTTTCTTATATTTTGAGCTCCTTATATTTGTATGTCCCACCTTTGATTCCATGACAGATATAATTCTGATTTCAAAATTGAATTTAATACATATATTTTAATGTTTGCCTCAGATTAATACAATGAAATTCATAAGTCTCCAAAGTAAGGAATAGGCATCTGATGTCACTTCAGATCAAATTGTACTGAATCTTAGTTTTGACCTAGTTCTAGTGAAATAATCACCAGAGTAGATCTTTTGAGTAGTATTAAAATAGTACAGATCATTAATGTTCTATAGAAACATAATTTTCATCCATTTTCTTGCAGAAGGGAAATATACTAGTTGATTGGTAATTTTTAAAGCTCAGTATATGTAACCATTTAACAACATGATTTCTTGAGGATTTTGTAGATTTTAATTATAAAATATTAGAGTTCATTTTCTGGTCTGCAAAAATTGCTTTAGAGCAAGTAATAAAACATTAGAATTATGAAGCACTATATATGAGTCTTTACATGAGCTTCTCTTATATTTATACTTGCAAATGGTTTTTTTACATCTGTTAAGTCCAGGAATAGCAATTAGCAGAAACCAAAAAAAAAAAGCATTATTTAAAAATACAGTCCTCATGTCAACAAACGGTGAAATAAACTTATCCAAACTTATCCTTTGATGCGAATAAGCAGACGCTTCTTTATTCAGGGTGCCAGGGACACTTAACAAACAAATCTTATCCATTTTATATACTTTTTCTGCTGAATCATTGTTATATAAGTTATTTTACATACTATACATACCATGCCTGCTCTTAAATTTAACCTTTACATTGATTGGTTCCAATAGTGAAGCGATACGTGGAATAAATAGACTCCACAACCTGATGTAGTTATTAAGTGGGTATGGTATGTATTGTGAGTGCCTGGCACAAGTGAGATAGCTCTCATTAAACTTGTGCCCTGAGCCTTGGTATGGGCTACATCTTTATTCACAAAGGTGTTCCGTATACATTACATTGCACAACTTTTCTATGCATATTCAACCCCTGGCCCCGCTTGTCCTCACTTCACATGGTAATTAGATCCACACCCTTCTGAGCATGCGTCGTTCATGGTGGTGGTCGCACAGGGGTCTTTTGGTGGTCTCTCAGGCTGAAGGCCATGGTCTTCTTCATGATTGAACTTTTGAACTTTTCTCCTTTGCGCATGCGCTTTGGTCCCTTGGTGCTTATCTGAGTATGTCTGTCAATTTTGATCAGCTTGGAGAAAGAGGAGCTCCTTTATCTAGGTTTCTTGCACTCCTTGGTCTTCTCCCGCTATTGTTCTTTATGCAAGAAGCTTCAGAAATTTGCATTTTCCTATGCCCTTTGTAGCATGGCAGAGGTTTCTTAAGTAAAAGCTTAAATTCAACACACAATTCTACAAGCTAAAATTTAAATGCTTAATTCATATTGCTAACTTAAGCAAACCCCCAAAACCTCAATTTCAATAGTTAATAACTTCATTAATATTCTTATCCTAAAACAATCATTGGTCATCTCTTCTGAGGTCTACTGATTGCAATTTTTAATATTAAAATCAAGATGGGAAGGGTAGTGGGTTTCCAAGTAGCATAACTGATGAGCATGATGGTCTCCATAGCTTCTTGACTGAAACATAAGGGTCCAGTAACTTCTTGGTGAGATTTCTGCGGTTACACATTCCAAACACATCACTCCTTATATTTCTATACCTTATACTTCACTTATAATCATAGCTAACCCTTTAATATGATTAAATTGATTATTTGATCAAAATATTAATAGTATACATATTTAGGGATAAAACATTGTCCTTATTTTAGTCAGGACAGGGTTAGGTTTTGCAGTAGGCAGGAGGGGACGTGGCAGGGCCCAGAGGTTATTCTATACCATCTCACATCATTGCTGCGGGTGAGGGAAGGGACTCCCTTCTGAGGAGAAGGGATTCCTTTTGGTTAAGTGTGGCAGACAGGGTGGTCAGGATGGGGTAGCAATCACATCCAGTTGGGTTCTGCAGTGAGCATTTTTACATGTGAATCACTCTCACACACTTTTGTTGTTAATATTGTTGCTGTTGCTGTTTGTTTTCTTGTCTCATTGATGTTTCCAGGAAATTGTTCTTATCTCAACCCGTGATCTTTGGCTTTTGTGCCTCCAGTTCTCCTTTCTGGACACCTGTGGGGGTAGAAGAGGGGGATGGGGAGCAAGTAAACAGCAGTAGGGTTTGGAGAATCTTGGTGGGAGAACTAAATTGGGAAGTACCATTCCTAAACCATGACAAACATCTAAACAAAATTTGCCAGCTTGAAGTCCCAATGTCACAAAGCAGAAAAAATAAGAAATTTATTACTGGGATTGACAAAACACTTAAAAGGAAGTAAGAATACAGTGCTTACTGACTTGGTGAGATTTCAGTAATTTCATTGGACTTGATAAATAAAACTGGAAAAATAGTTTGTTGGCCATCGACTCTCTTGTATATGTCTTGAAATGTGTCAATCTCCTTCTTCTTCCTTCATCCCTTGCATGAATCTCTCCTGTAGTCTTGTCAGGTTTTTTGCCCCGGCATTTTTACAATAGTGGTATTTTTAATCTGTTCAGCATTGCTTTCCCCCCCCCCCCCCCATTAGTACATGTTGTCTTTCTAAATCTCTTTCCCTGTACTTTTTGTGGTTTCTAAATTCTGTTGCTAGCTTCTAATATATCCTGTTTCTATAGTTGCACATTCTGTCATCTTCTGAACTGCTTTGTCATTCTTAGAAACACTTTTGAAGTTTTCTATCCACTGCTAGTACAGTGCAAGAAGACATCTGATAGATGTGCATTTACCAGAAGGGATGAGAGGAGTGTCTAAGAAAGTAAGTTTCCTGAAAGGTGGGAGTTTATTTGAACCTCTCGGTAGCTCAGCAAATGGATTCCATATTTTCCCCTTACCACTGGCTGCACCAATGGTTGTATGTTCATATTGTTTTCTAAGTAATTTCAAGACTTGTATCTGCACTAAAGTCAAGAGCGCAACTTATAAAAAGATATTATTCACTTCCCACATACATTGTTGGGTGACTTACTGTTTAGGTTTGGATAGACAGGTGTCTGTTAAAGAAGGCAGGAGCTTCTCCTGAAATGGAAAAAATGTAGACCCCTTCTTTCTGAATTGTTATAAATTTGAAATTAAGGGGGGCTCTCAGGTAAAAATATGGGAACAGGAATAATAGTTCCTTATTAAGGAAGAAAATAAAAAGATAAAATAAACAATGCAGTAAACAAAAACAACACTGACACCCTGTTGGACAGGGTGTTGGTAGCAGTCTAATTGCAATTGTGGCTGCAGTCCTCCTGGAGTGTCAGGTGTAGGTTATATTGGAGTGGTGATCTTGTAGAAAAGGGTGCAGTCTTCCTCTGAAGAGGCAGTGGAAGAGGCAGCTGCTCCTCTGGGAAAATCCAGCACAGAAAAAGCTTCATTGGTGGGCCAGAACGTAAGACTATATGCAGGTAGGAATGCTTGGCTCCTCCCTCTGGGCGGAGAATCTCACAATGGGATGGTGTAGTTCTTATCAGTCATGCAGTGACACTCAATGGCCCATTATCAGCAGATGTCTCCCCGGAGGAAGGATTGATTGTGTAAGAGATAAGGACAAACTGCCCACTTAACACAAGACAACTGCCATACAGATGTCAAATAGAATACATCTTGCTTTTCAATCTAGGAGACTTGCCCACTTATTTACCATTAAACCACTTCCATTTATGGCTTCAAAGATACCATTCACAGTATGAGACAGATGCAAACCAACACTACCGTGTGGATAGCCTGAAATAATAGCTGGGTGAGATTAGATATTTTTCTATATATAAACTCTACAGACCTAAACCCAAATAGAAACAAGTTTCTAGTCAACAGTTTGATTATATAATGGTTTTCCAAAGTCTAAAGGTAAGAGAAGCTACAGTTTTGCCAAGATACAGTTGTTAGAAGTATCATGTCACATTTGTGTTACAACTTGCAGAATTTGTGAAGACTCATCACCATAGGAAACTTTTAAAATGTAACTGGAAAACTTGCCATAACCTTGCTAAGAAACTTCACTTTCACTACCCCATTAGATAGATGAGTTATGGCATTGTGTACCTCCAACCAAGGGTTTTCTAGTTGTTACACAAGCACTAAGGATATTAGTTTATCTTCTCTTCCCTGTGTTTTATTACGTTTTGGATAATTAAATATTATTCTCCCTCAAGTTCCTACCCCACTTTATCTATGCCAGTCAGTATTTAATGCATTTTTTTAAAATTATACACACATGGTTATTCTATCATGCAATAGACATACTAAATCTAAAAGGAAGGTTTCAACAAAGGCATGGAATTTGCTGTGTAATGGTGCTTCCTGTAGAAAAACTGAAGATTAAGCAGTTGAACTAGGGAAATTCAGACAAGGCAAGCGAGATTGCATTAAACTGTATACTGGATGCATTTCTTTCAAGATTTTTTTTATGCAGTACTGAATATGCTTTTCATATCTTTATAATTTTTAACCCCATTTCCCATTTAGAAGTTTTAAAAAATTTGCATGACTGTTTTTAGATTTGATGACTTTAGTTTTTTAGCTGACTCCTAATTTTGGTTTTGAGCCATGTAGAAATTATAAATTCAGAGAAGTAATTAGGTAGGATTTGGATGGGATAAGAATAAAAATAACACAGTGCATCTTTCTTCTACACCTACTAATCTTAGCTTTACTGCATTTATTTTACTTTAAACTAAGATTAGATAATTCTGGAAGCTGGTAAACATGCCTCAACTTTTTGCAAGTAGTAAAGAGGCTCAGAGATGCAAACATCCACATTTCTGAAAATGCAACCAGTACTTTACATTTAGCTTTGCTCACAGCTTGTGTTACTCTAGTGGAAATTGATTCCATTTACTGTACTGGGTGTTCCCAAAGAGGATGCTTGTCTCAGTCTGGCAACTCTGATGTTGGAAAAAAATCCTGCTACAACTACTTTGACATTTTGCTTATGTGGAATTAGGAGATGATAAAGCTATATGTATTTTTCAAAAGTGCATAAAAACTCCCTTGCCCTTCAGAGCTTATTGTTTTCCAGCACATGGTCAAAATTACTGCTTGTTTTGGGTAGTCTCACCAGTCAGTACAGTTTTTAGCAAAAAGAAAACTAACAGAATTCCCCCACCAAATCCCAACAATACCTCAGTAAGGGTAGGTCCATACAATTCCAGAAGAAATAGGTCCCAAAGAACAGAAATATAATAAATGGAATTAACCAAAGCTTATGACTTAAGGCTACTTAATCAGATTATTTTGTGTTTTTTTTAACTTGAATTGTCAGTATGACAGGTAGTTGTAGAGAGCAATAAGGTCTCCCCTAAGCCTCCTTTTCTCCAGACTAAAAACCCCTAGTTCTCTCAGCTGCTTCTCATAAGACTTGTGCTCTAGGTCCTTCAGTTGGCCTCAGCCCATAGATCCAGTTGGCCCAGATCCCTTTGTAGATCCTTTCTACTCTCAAGCAGATCAACACTCCCACCCAATTTGGTGTCATCTGCAAACATACTGAGGGTGCACCAAATCCCCTCATCCAGACCATTGATAAAGATATTAAACCTGACTGGTCCCAGTATTGAGCCCTGGGCAACATCACTTGTGACCAACTTTCAACTGGATTTAACTCCATTCACCACAACTCTGATGCCAGTCTCTCAGCCAGTTTTTTACTCAGTGAAGAGTATACCCATCCAAGCCATGAGCAGCCAGATTCTCCAAGAAAATGATGTGAGCAATGATGTTGAAGGGTTTACTAAAATCTAGGTAGACAATATCCACAGCCTTTCCTTAGCGTTCTTAGGTGCTTCCATGGTTTCTAATGCATTGACAACCTTTGCATCTTTGCTGCTGCATGGATCTCCATCCCCTACCTCCACTGATATGGCTAAGGTTCTGTGCACATTAATACAGGGACATTTCAAATGTACTCCAGAGTACTCAACATATAGTGGATCAGACTGAAGGATGTCACTAGCACACTGTCCCTCAAACACTGGCATGCTGATTCCAGGCTTATCTATAGCAAGCCTGGTTTTATCCTTTTACCTCTTCAAATCTAGTTTAAAGCTCTTACGATGACCCCTGCTAACACTTGCACAAATATCCTTTTTCCCTTTTGAGAAAGATGCATCTCATTTGACACCAGTAGGCTTAGAGTCATATGGACTGACCTGTGATTAAAAACCCAAAATTCACCAGTCGCAAAGCCGGGTATTGCTCAGCTGGCTCTTCCTGTTTCTTTCCTCATCATTCTCTGCAACTGGAAGGACAAATGAAAAAAATAGGACCTTTAATTCCCGACAATAAATAATCTGCTATGACAATAACCTGCCTTTTTTTCTTTATGTAAGTGGTTTGGATATAGTACATAGGCCCATTCAACCTTGACAACACCTCCAACATAGATGGACTATCATCCTCTGTTACGGTGAGCTCCTGGACACCCTTTTGTCCCCCCTTTCCTAGGGCCTCTGTGGCTCTGATCATGATAACCCCTGAATCCTCCCTCCTGCCCCAATGGGGTTGGCGGGGAGCCAGGAGAGCCCACCCTGTCCAAAACCTATATAGACCCCTGAAACTTCCTGCTCTTTCTCTTTTGCCCCGCTCTCCATGGACACCACAGAATAAAGAGAGCTGTTCCAACAGCCTGGGTAAGGAGCCTCTTCTGAATACTTTTCCCTCTCCCTGCTATTTCCTCCCCTCACAGCCCCATATCTCTGTCATTCGGGGGGCTGCGTGGAGGGGGGGAAAACCATAGAAATAACAGTTGGCGCCCCAACGTGTGCTGCTCTGAGCCCACGAAGAAGCTGGACCCCCTATTTCGGTGGAAGTCAAAAGCTTTTGGGACAGTCAACTGCCCTGGTACTCTAGCTGCCTTTAAAAGCTTTGAGTCACGGGGGACAGTCGGGGACCTCTGCCTGTGTACCCCAGGAAGAGCCGACTGGAGAGGGAACCCCCAGAGAGGGTTTCACAGACGAATCCCGCAGTCACAGGCTTGGTAAATTCTCCGATCGCGGCACCCGGGACCGTGCCTGGCGGGGAGAGGTTACCATAAGTGACTGGGGGGGCTGCTTGCGGGACGGTGAGCCAGGGCCCCACTGCGAGTAAGCGGGAACCGGTGGACTGCGCATACCCACGTTCCAGTGGGGAACAGGCACGGGACGAGAGGGCTGAAGCCGCCCTGCCAGCTGCGGGATGAGCGCCCCTCCCCCTGTGCCCCCCCGCTCGGGTTTTCCACGGAGGGAAATTCGAATCATTCGTGCTGTGTTATTAGCTCTGGTGGAGACTAGACCAGTGAAACAATAAAAAATCATGGGTACTAACATTTCACTGCAACAGAAGAGTATACTAACACATCTTAGCAATAACTTGAACGATGTATCATTCCCTAACAAGCTTCTCCTGCGTTTTGTGTGCTGGCTAAAGACAGAAATACCAAATTTTACTGTGCAGGACCTGAATTCGCTTGCTTTTTGGAATCAAATTGGACAGATATTAACTTTAAAAGTCGAAAATGGTGAACATAAAGTTTCTCGATTTATTCCGATATTTTTACAAGCACGGAAAAAGATTTTAGAAGCAGAAAAAAGCATGCAAACGCAGAAACACAGTTCTAACACTCCCTTTCCCCCTTCCTGCCCACCTCCTCAATACCCCAGCCCTGAAAACCCCTCACCCACCCCTTATTCCCCTCTGACACCTTGTTTTTCTGAGAAATACAGCCCGGAGTGTGTCTTAAAAAGCAGCGCAGTGTCTGTGGAACACACGCGGCCGGATAATGGCGTCCGCCATGTGCTTCTGCCGGCGCGGGCCGCTCCACCCCCCACTCCCCCTCCCGCTCGCATTCCTTTGCTTCCCCCGCCCTCCGCCACCCCCTCCGCCCCCACCCCCTCCTCCCTCCCCTCCTCCGACGCCTGCTTATCTCCCATAGCAACACCCCACCCTCCTTATCAGTCCCAGCCCCCGGGTTGCCCCGGGAACAGGGGCGGGGCCGGCCCCTGCACTCCTCCGAGCCCAGCGGCTCACAGCAGGGCGGGGGCAGGGGACAGCAGCCCCGCGGCTCAGAGCCGGGGCGGGGCCCGAGTCTCCACCGCGGAGCAGACAGCCCGAGAGGGGGGGGGCGAGCTGCCCCTCACCGAGGTGGGGGGTGCGCGGGACGAACACAAGCCTGCCTCTACCGAGGAATTTATACCATCTATAGCTCCAGTGGTTTATTTAGGGAGAAGAAATGGTACAAGAACATACCAACCTCTCCCATACAGGGACAAAACAGAAATCTGTAAAGTTCAGAAAGAATTTGGGAGATCGAGTGAGATTTTCAAGGGTATGATGAGGGCAACATTCAATTCAAATGAAATGGTGCCAAAAGATATAACTGATTTGTTTAAATGTTTACTAACATCCTCTGAATATGAGATATGGGAGAATAAGTTGAAATTGGCTTTGGAAACAGTTTTGCAAGAAATACAGCGTACACCCTATGATGCCACCGTCATGGATGGCCAGCCCCTTACAATACACCATTTGTGTGGGACAGGAGACATACAATGTCCAGAAAAACAAACCAGACTGTTATCTAGATCAGTCTTGGAAAAAATCTGTACTGCTGCAGAAAAGACGCTGTATCAATTACCAGGCACTGAGGTTGAATGCAGCTATATTAACATCAAACAGTTTCCTTCTGAGAGTTTTTGCAGTTTGTGGATCGTTTGAGAAGCCAAGTTGAAAAACCGGTGCAACACACCAGTGTGCAAACAGAGTTGATTAAAGAAATGGCCCAGAGGAATGCCAACGAGACCTATCGTAGGATTCTTCTCAGCCTTCCTCTTGATCCAGCACCTACTCTTGGCCAGATGATCGAGGCCTGCGCTAAGAAAGCAGAGCTGCTTGATAATCCTGTCAGTCATAGAGCACCAGCAGAATTACAGCCTGTTGCCACTGCTACATCAAACCCCAGGAAGCCACCCAGATCATCACAACAGCTGCAACAAATCATCTGCCTGCATTGCAAGAAACCAGGACACTTTGCCAGGAACTGTCCTAAGAACCAGAACCAGAGACAGATCAACAAACAAAAAAACTAGATGCACAGCGCGTGCCCACTGCTACGCGCAAAGATATAAATATAGTGGGACACAAATGTGACAATGCCTCTCTCTTAACAAATAAGGGGGAGGGTGGATACTATGATGGGGGGAGAGAGAAAAATAAAAATGTGAAATGTATTACTAACAAGGTTTGGCAGCCACTAGGCCGGCCACGCCTAGTGACTGCCAAAGGATTTCATTTCAGAAACACTGATTGGAAAGTCATTGTTGTGGACCTATCAAAAAACCCTCAGGACCTGCAGGCGTACGATATGGAACTGGACAGTGAGTATTTTGTTATTGGGGACACAGCATACACACCTCCTGAGATTGAAATAGTTCCCATGACTACTAAGGGAAAAATATCCAGCCTTATGCTGTTGGCACGTTGCTTGCACCCTCCATTCTATCTAGAAAAGGGGCAAATTCTGGCACAAGCCATTCCCATCCCAGTAGAAATCACAGTAGAAGGAAAATCTCCAGAAGTCTACTGGGCGGAAGTAATAGGAGAGGATAAACCCTCCATGGCATGCAACCTAGCACATGGGTCAGAGCATCTTCAGGTGGAAGGTGTTCTGGACACAGGTGCAGACATCACGGTGATACCCAAAACCATGTGGCCATCACACTGGGAATTGCAACCTGTGGCAGGCAAACTTCAGGGTATAGGAGGAACTACATTGGCAAAAATTTCTAAAAATGTAGTGCAAATTGAGGGACCTGATGGGAAATCAGCAAGTGTTCGCCCGTTTGTGGCAGACTATAAGGCTCCTCTGTGGGGGAGAGACACCATGTCCCAGTGGGGAGTCCAATTGATCATTCCTAAGACACCCCAGGATTTTTGGGAGTAGCCGCTGTGGAGCGCCATGCCCACAAGTTAAAGTGGTTGGATAACACCCCAAAGTGGGTAGCACAGTGGCCTTTGAGTAGAGAAAAACTCGAGGCGCTTGAAAAACTTGTGGAGGAGCAGGTGGCTCAAGGACACCTGCAAGAAACAGACAGCCCTTGGAATTTCCCAGTCTTTGTAATAAAGAAGCCTGGGAAGGACAAGTGGAGATTGCTCCACGATCTCAGAGAGATAAACAAAATTGTGGAGGACATGGGACCTCTCCAACCGGGGATGCCGAGTCCAGCTATGCTTCCCCAGGACTGGAAATTGGCTGTGTTAGATATAAAGGACTGCTTCTTCCAAATTCCATTGCACCCTGAAGATGCCCCGAGGTTTGCATTCTCAGTTCCCACGGTCAATACAGAAGCCCCGATGAAATGCTACCACTGGAAAGTTTTGCCCCAAGGTCTAAAATCCAGTCCTTTCATATGCCAACAGTATGTAGCAGCGCTACTGTCTCCAGTACGTGCAGAGAGAAAGGATGCCATCATCCTACACTATATGGATGACGTGCTTGTGTGTGCTCCCAATGACTCTATACTCCAATATACACTTGACCTAGTGGTTAAAGTTTTAACCTCTGCTGGATTCAAATTGCAGGAAGACAAAGTTCAAAGAATGCCACCTTGGAGATACCTGGGCCTGGAAATTTCTGCAAGGACTATTGTCCCACAGAAATTGGAGATAAATTGCAACCCCAGAACACTAGCAGACCTCCACTCGCTGTGTGGGTCTTTAAATTGGGTAAGGCCCTGGCTAGGCCTCACGAATGAAGATCTGGAACCTCTTTTCAATTTATTGAAGGGGGAGAGGGAGCTGACCTCCCCCAGGGAACTGACTCCAGAGGCAAAGACAGCAATCGAAAAGGTACAGAAGGCCTTGTCAGAAAGGCAGGCACACAGGTGTGACTCAAATCTGCCTTTCCAGTTCATTGTTCTAGGAAAGCTGCCACACCTGCACAGGTTGATTTTCCAATGGATCAAGGGGCAGAAGGACCCACTCTTAATCATAGAATGGGTTTTCCTATCGTTCCAAAGATCCAAAACCATCACTAGGCCACAAGAGCTGATAGCAAAGCTGATTCAGAAGGCCAGGGTGAGGTTGTGTGAATTAGCAGGGTGTGACTTTGCATGTATTCACCTTCCAGTCAGGCTTTCTGAGGAGGGAAGGAACTCTCCTGAGAGGCTGACAAAAGGGATGTTTGAGCATTTGCTCCAGAGCAGTGCCAGTCTCCAGCTATCTCTGGACAGCTATAGGGGACAAATATCAGTCCATGCCCCGTCTCACAAGTTGTTCAATGAGGAATTCCACCTGATTCCTCAAGAGAAAAGGAGACGGAGGGCGCTCAGGGCTCTCACAGTGTTCACTGATGCCTCTGGGGCTTCCCACAAGTCGGTGATGACTTGGAGAAATCCACAGACTCAGCATTGGGAAGCTGATGTTGAGCTTGTGGAGGGATCCCCCCAGGTGGCTGAACTGGCTGCAGTGGTGAGAGCTTTTGAGAGGTTTTCCGAGCCGTTCAACTTGGTGACAGACTCTGCCTATGTGGCAGGTATAGTGTCCAGGGCGGAGCAGGCTGTGCTCAGAGAAATAGAAAATGAACATCTCTTCAGGTTACTCTCAAGGCTAATTTATTTAATTTCGCACCGAGAACATCCATTCTTTGTGATGCATGTGAGGTCACACACTGATTTGCCAGGTGAGATTGCAGAGGGGAACCGAAAAGCAGACTCCTTCGCTGCACCAGTTGAAAAGGCAAGTCTCCCTGATGTTTTCCAACAGGCAAAGCTGAGTCACGAGCATTACCACCAGAACGTGCCAGGTTTGATTCGGCAGTTCCAGCTAACATGGAGTCAGGCCGGAGCCATTGTGACCAACTGTCCTAATTGTCAGCTCCAGGCGGTGCCATCCTTAGGCATGGGGGTAAACCCCAGAGGCCTTAGCAGCTGTGAGGTATGGCAGACAGACATCACACACATTCAGAGTTTTGGTCGCCTTGAATGCGTTCATGTAAGCGTGGACACATTCTCAGGTGCAGTGTATGCCTCTGCCCATATAGGACAAAAGGCTGCACATGTCAAACAACACCTAGTACAAGCATTTTCAGTATTGGGGGTGCCAAAAATGATCAAAACAGATAATGGCCCAGCGTATGTATCCAAGGAGTTCCTGGAATTTCTCCAGCAGTGGGGAGTGGAACATAAGACTGGCATTGCCCACTCCCCCACAGGTCAAGCTGTAGTCGAGCGTGCACACCAGATGCTCAAGCAGGTATTGAAAAAACAAAACAGCTCAGCTCCGTGGATGTCTCCACGAGAGAAGCTCTGTAAAGCTATGTTTACTATCAATTTTCTGAATTGTTCATTCGAAAATATGAGTCCACTGGTTGTACGTCACTTTAACAGTGGCAAGCAGTTTAAATTGTCTCAGCATCCACCGGTCTTGATTAGGGATCCAGAGACTTGGGAAACCAAGGGTCCCTATGAACTTGTGACCTGGGGTCGTGGCTATGCGTGTGTAGCTACTCCCTCAGGCCCTCGGTGGATTCCCCAGAAGTGGGTGAAACCTTTTGTCCCCAAGAATCCAGGTCAAACAGAAGGGGACAAGAAGCAAGTAGCTGATGCTTCAAAGAGAAGACGCCGCCGGATGGGAGAAGAAGAAAGTTCCTAGGCAGGAATTCCTTCCGGCAGAAACAGAAGCTTTAACATGTTCTTAAAATGTTTGTTCTTCCCTTTTAGAGAAAACCTACCTTCCACTCAACCCTGTGATGAACCCCAAGCAAGTTGTCATCCAGCAAATGCTGAAGAGAATGTTCAAGGGATGGGGATTC